AGTTGAAATTTGGTGAAGATATGAACCATTTTACAGTTAAAAGAGGCGAACCATTCGCCGGTTGTCTTTTTGTTCGCCCGCGCTGTAACTCATTAAAATTCTACCTTCTTTGGCCTGACTGCTCATGATTTATGGATAACTGTTTTTGGAAGGCGCTGTGCAAAGCGGGTATCCGGCTAATTTGGAATCAAAACGAACCAGTCACAGCAAGTGTTTTATTCTCTAAAATGAATCCACCAGCAACGTTATTTGATTTTTGGCGGGAGAAACTCAAACGAAAGATAACATATAGGGTCCATCAAAGGTTACAGAACACTAAAGTGTAAAAATATGTATAATCTTTCTGTTTACCTCCTTTTTTTGTTTCCACTTGTGAAATGTCTCAGTGGTTTTCCCAGGACAATTTGAATTTTGCCTGAGCTCTTTTTAACTCGTTGTACACGGTAGTGATTTCAGTTTGATAATTTGGTTTTTGACTCTCGGCTAAGTTAGCCACATGAAACAAAACAGACAGTTGCTTCCCGTTGCTGCTCTTCCATTATGGAACGCGCAGCTATTTTTGAACAGGTTCACAAAGCGGCGTCAAGTTTCGTGTTTTCGAGTAAGCGGGAACAAAAGGATGGTTATGTGGAACGTATAAATTAACATTCAGATCCGTTTAATTTTAGGTCAGATTTCAGTTCGACAGTAAACATTCAATCCAGTGAAGCATAAAATAACTTTTATGGTAGCAACAAAATAGGTTTTGTCATGTAATTATTTTGCTCCACAATAGAAACAATAGACATGCTGTCAATTTCCACGAACCATAACAGTTCCATCCTGGGTTCTATTTTGATAAAAATTTAGAACACAGTGCTAATGTGTGCTAGAACTTTATATATAAATTGAGAATCTCTAAGGATTTCTTTCGCGGTTCACTGGAAAGTTAACATAATCACAAGCTCAAACACATGGTGCACACCAGCTAGCAGCTCCATAATGGATAACTGAAAAGTTCTAAGGCAAGAAGGGAGAGAGGAGTGGAGGGAGGGGCCAAGTAGGCTTGATCGGATATTAGAAAAAGGTTATCGTACCTCTCAACTTTGAGCAACTAGAGCACAACCCTAATCAATGCAACAGAAAATCGAACGTTACTGGTGTACTAGAGAAAGATAAAAATTTCAGATAAGGTACGTTTAATGAAGATCTTAGTTACCATAGCAACAAAATGATATCATAAGCCATTTTATATGACACCGAAGAACTTATCATTGAGGTATAATTTTAGAATCTTCAACCTGACGAGGTGGTCTTGACGATGGCAAAATATGCGCAAAAAATATATATATATATATACCAGAACGATTTCTTGAGAACTGCGTGTGAAGTCATTTCAAGGTGTCAAAATGCGACAAAAACAAAACTATTACAAAATGTCATTGAAAACTTTATCCAGAAATTCTGAATAAATGGCATGGTACTTTGTTCTTAAATGAATGTTAAAATATAACACCCTTAATTTAAGTGAAAAATCTCAAAGAAATCGTTCTGTTTGATTTTTAGAAACGTTGGCTTGAATGTCAGCTGCTTACATGTAAAGGTGTTATTTTGCTTATTTACTCAAAAATCGATTCTACAATTATTGAATTCGTCGGGAATTAAAAAAATTCTCGTATTTGTTTTTGATCACGGTGTTTTTGACTTTGATCTCAAGGAGATCAAGCATTATTCAATGCAATCATTGAGTTTCAAATTCATTGAAACATTTTAACACCGCTAAGTTTTATCCTTAACTGAAGGAAAATGTTGCGCTTATTTTCATGGGTGTAGTTTGTTGTCTCCATTATGGTTTACTATTGTCTCGAATCGCCATATCACAGTTCATTTCTGTTTATCATGAATTCATAAAACGCGTGATTGCTTTCTTTCGACTTTCCGGAACCACACTAAAATCTGCCGAGCTAGTATTACTACTACAGTGGCACTGTGATTCAAGTTGTCATTGCTTTTTGTAGAGGAGGAAACTGGCGAATTTTGAAAGAGCCTTCTTGCCAACGACAAACTTAAGAGGTGATTTCTCAGCGATTCTTCTCGATCAAGGGAATTAAAATATGTTAGGTTGAACCTGTTTGAATGCCACAAAAATAGCTCTTGCTTTACATTGCCAACTTTTCTATTTTAGGGTGCTCAAATAGACCGATTTCAATATATTAAAATTCTAACTTGGCTCTCGAGGCCTAGGAGAATAACAGAAGAAATCAATTACTCATCCCTCGACCTCGATGTGAATTGTTTTGTTTTGTTTCCCCAAGCCTCGGAGCCAAGTTAGAATTTTAATCTATCAAAGTTGGCCTGTTGGTTATAAGTCAATCAGAACCCTTGTCTACTGCCCTGATTTCTTGCGATATAAGTTCACTGATTTGTTTTTGGTTTTTGGCCAAATTTGGACATTATAACATCCTCATCGTATTTTTTTTATGCTCTTCGACAGATCTTCAGGCTCGTTAACCTGTCTTTTGGTCTCGCCATAGATATTTGGGCTTGAAGCCTCTCGCCAAAAATCAGTACAAATCAAGGCACGACCAAACTCACCTGGCCGTCGAGGTGTATCGTAAGCTACATCAGGATTTCCATCTGCACCTGCCTACCTGTATCTATCTCTTACGTTCTTTTGTGACTAGGTGTCACATAAGGCTTCAAAAGGTTTTCAATATATGCATTAATCTTAGTACTAATTTTAAGAATAATGTCTACATCAAAACATAAAACGACAAACGCATAAAGGTAACAATGGCCCGTGATTGTGTCGATGACAAGACTTCCCAATTCTTTTCATCACTTGGGCTTTGATTTATCGATACTATCACTCTTTATCAGGTCATGCTACAATAATGGTATCACACCGATGGCCAGTGATTGATAAACAAGTTCTGAGCATCCTTTTTTAACAAAGCACCCTTAAATTAGCTTAAAATGCTTATAACTAAAAAACAAGTTTGGTGACTCCTACTTTTATTTTAATATGGCATTGTCATTAGACTGATAAAGTACAACGTTTTGCTAATTTTTCAAAAATTCTGTGTATGAAGTTCAAAGCCACATTACCTTCTTCTCTACAGAAGGTTTTTTTTTGGAAATTTGCGAAAGCGTTTATCTCGTAGAATGTTTGTCACGAATCGATAAGAAAGAAGTTGAAAGAGAGTAAACGAGCTCGTTTTGAGTTATAAGCACTTGAAGCTATAATTAAGAGGTTTTTTTAAAAGGTTGTATCGTTGCTATGGTAACTTATTACTCTATGAAGATGACCATATCTTGTTTACTGATGATTGCAGATTTATGTGATACCCCGTTCCCGTACGGTCCTTGGAGCTTCGAACTGAGTTATACAGTTGGCTCGAGTACAGCTGAGAAACCTAATTGTGTTTAACTTTCCGAAACAGTAGTACACAAGCCGAATGATGTTTTTCCAAAGCAATCTCAAAAATAGAAATAAAACACTGTTGTAAGCTGATAAAAGCTTTATTTATGTTTTTTCTCAAGTTTGCGACACCTACTGTAACCGTTAAACCAATTGTTAACCACTATTTTCCATAAGCACTTACAACAAAGAAGTCATTTTAAATCAATTCTTAGTTCTCGCACGCCTACTGATGGAAACAAAGGCCGTTGTTCTGTCCATCTGGTTAAAAAGTTTTAATTTCTTAAGATAACTTTGTTAATGACCTTTGACGTTACCCACAGCTTCAGATTTTGGGATTTCATCTATTCAGATAGGCACATCAAAAGGGTGCGCAAATTGGAAATTCGTGTGGGGTGACCTTGACATGTTACGTTACTGGTAAAGGTTAAATTGTAGGTTTTAAACAAAAAACGATCGCAATTGGCGTAGCAAAGCGCTGCCCTACTGAAGATTTGACATTATTTTCGGCCATATGAGACGCTGGCAGAGATATGGTAAAATGTGATATTCTGATAGGATAGAGTCTTACAGCGTTGTCAAATGAGATGAAATCCTGCAATGCAATCTGTTCATAACCTAATATGATATTTCGTCTTAGTATTTCAGGTCACTTCTGTGTTGAGCTGGTTCAAATTGTACGCTACAATCTGTAACTCGGATTGTTTTTTCATAGTGCTAAAATTTATCTATTCCTTTCGCCTTTTTGCGTGAAACAAATACTCTTCTTTGTCACCTTACGTAACTTAGAAAAAGAAAAGCAAATAAAGTATTATCGTTTTATAATTACTAACCTCAAATGATGGAATAAATTCATCGCAAACGAATGAAATGTTTTTTGGGTTAGGTTAGCTTGGGTCTTAACACCTGCCGACCTGGCAATATAAATAATGAAAAGAGAAACTTCAGCTTGGCCGCTCGATTTCTTGATTTCGCTTTTGTTATTGTTCGAGACGATCTTCCAGATGAAGCTAGCAAAAAGTAAGTAATCCTCTGCTTTTGACGAAATCATGTTTGTAAAGGCTACATTATATCTATAAATGTGCATTTCTACATTTAGGGAAAAGAATGAATGGAGTATATATGTTACAGTGTGTAGAAATACATGCCCGCGAAAGACAATGACACGTGCTGCTCGAAAAAAAAAATGGATGATCCGGGCTATCACAAAACTCTTTACCTTTAAGCTACAGTGGACGTCCCACACTTTGCTTCCAGAAGTTTTTGTGATGAGAGAGAATTTTTAAAAAGAAAGGACAGTGATGCTTGCGCAAATTTGAAAAAGATGTTACTAAATTATTGGTACAACGTTTTTCTCCATCTTGTGAACCTTCTGTCTTTCAGGAAGTAAAGAGGGAACAGTGGTCAGATTTACGTTGTTCGTGTTTATTTTATTGGCGGACTACACTTGTTCACGTATGTATAAATATACCAAATCATTTATTTTTATGATTTATCGAGCGATTTTACCATGCCTAGTATCACAGCATGATAAAATAACAGAGCGAAGAACTCAGAGCAGAGTGAGTAGATCCTCACCCTGCTTCAGTTCTGACAGCAGAAATTCATTCTCTCGCCTCCTTTCAATGATCAATTTTTTTCAAAATTATTAAAAATAAACGAACAAATCAAGTAAAGAAGTATAAAGCGTCTTCATAAAGGTAAGAACATCAAAATATGTTTAAGTTTTTAGTAGAAACCTAGGAAACAATTTTTTTAAAAGACAACTCACTGAGTTATGATTCTAAGTTTTAGTGCACAACCTTTGTAATTTCATCAGAGCAAGTCTCTTGTAACTTTGAAGCTGGATTTTGTGATTGGAAGCAAGGAGATATAGATTCCTTCGATTGAACTCGAGGCAGTGGCTCAACACCTACCTGATGAACTGGGCCGAGCGAGGATCACACTACAGGAACAGGTATTTCGAAACCTGGCAAATCAAAGCTAAATAGCAATAATAAAAAAAAACCTTAGCCACTTTTTTCCTTCCTTTTCTTTTTTCACTCATTCTGTCCATATATTACTTCCTATTTAAAATAGGGTTTTTGCAACTTTCCATCGCCCTATTGGGACAAAAGAGAAAAAAGGAAGAAAAAAGATAAAAAGCACTTTGAAACAAGATACCCAGGCTTACTTAGCCAATAAACTATTATTGTTATAAAAATAACGTGAAAAAAGGTTTTATGTTTGTTTATTTGTACTTCAAATTTTCAGATGATGGGTTCTACATTTACATAGTATTATCATGCCAATGGCAAAGCTTGTGTGGCTTTGGATGGAGCAGTACGGCGGCTACAGTTGTGTGCAGAATGCTGGGCTTTCCTCCTGCCACTGGAGCTCCTGAAAAATCCGCCTTCGGGGTTGGAAGTGTTTCAATGCGGCTGCATGAATTTTCCTACCACGGCACTGACCATCAGTTAGCGGAGTGTCCCATGGATACAACATCCTCGTATGAAGGGTTGCTATATTTTTGTGACGACAACGAAGAAGCAGGAGTTGTTTGTGGAACCCCTAATGGTAAGTATTGTTTTCCTGTTTAATTGTTTTTATGACGCACATGTTGATGTAATATTTCTCACACTCATTAATAATTCGTCAAGTTAAAAGAAAGAAAATCACACCCGTGAAGGAGGTTTTGGATACCCAGTCTTAATTAGCAAAAATTTTGACAATTTTACCTCTCCGTTTACTCCTTAGTTTTTGTTTCGATTGAGACTATATATCAAATCCTCGAGACAGTGTTTCATCGGCTATCCAAACACCTCAATTTCGCCCAAAATACACCGCTGCGCGTCTTATTTTCAACTGTCTTCTCGATGTTTGGAAATCCCAACGAGACACTGTCTCTCTCTGCCTCTTACTGTCTCTAAATTTTCAAGTAAATGTAAATAGTTTTAAAACACATGTTTCAGATGACCCCCATCCATCGCCAGTTACGATTACAGAAAAACCGCTAAATTTACGATGAGGGATATGAAACATGATAATTATAGTTTAAGACAGTATGCTATGGTAGACCCTGCGAGAAGAACACAATTCTTAAACGGTCATATACAGTGTTGAAAATAAGAATAGAGTTCTGTTTGCTGCTGCTATTGTCGTCGTGGTCGCTGTTGGTGTTGCTGTTGTTGTTGCTGGTCTTGCAACCTTGACTTTCATCTCCTGTTACCGCTTCTTGGTGGGCAATTTTACAGTTCTTTTGCTGATATCGTGAACAAAAATCTGAATTAAGTTACAGCGCGTCTGTCTGATGGAGGAGCTCATAATCAGGGAAGGGTTGAACTGAACGTCAACGACCTCTGGGGGACAGTGGCTGATCCAGAATGGGACAGAAAAGATGGTGACGTCGTCCGTCGAATGCTCGGCCTTCTACCTGCCTCAGGTACTCCGGGTGGGGCTATTTTCGGCCAGGGAACTGGAATAGTATGGCTATCGCATGTCAACTGCTTGGGAAATGAAACTTCAACAACTGACTGTGGCAATGATGGTGGCTGGGAGACTGGAAGATTGTACAGTTACAACGAACACGCAAATGACGCGGGTGTAATATGTGGAGAGCCGAATGGTAAGCTATATTCAGAAGAAAAGATTATTAAGCTAAAATTGGATTCAAATGTTGCAACAGCCCCAAAGACCATCGTTTATCTGTCTACATCGACGAGGGAAGCGCTCGACACTGTCCTGTTTACAATACGAAAATCCATGCTACCGTAACCTTAATTCACGAGTGATCGTAATATTCAATCCTCTTGTTTCTCCGAAAGTTCATTTACAAAATGACAGTCCGGTTAGCGTTCATTCTTCTATACACAACCGAAATAGCAACACAATCAACGGAAACGTGCATCGTCAAGGTTTGACCTAAACTGGAATGAACCTCGGTCAAATCACGTGTCCTCAACGCTCGGACGGACTGGTCCTATCACACAGGACAACCAACAAATGAAACAGGCCTTTACAAATGTTATTTAGCGGTCTACCATGAGCAAAATAACGATAACAAGCGCCACCTTCATTTCTCGTTTCAGCAAGTACTTGGTATCTCAAAATACAAGGAATTGTCAAGAGGATAGAGCAGTAATTGTTACTAAGAGTGACCATCGATTAAATCTTCATTAAACATTGCTGTATTTTTTTTACATCCGTAGTTCAGTTGCGGTTAGTCGACAGCCCGTCAGGCTCGGACAAAGACGGCCGTGTTGAACTGGGTATCGGCGGCGTCTGGGGAGGAGTATGTTCCCTTGAGTGGGACTTACGAGACATTGCAGTGGTTTGTCAAATGTTTGGATTACCCCCTGCATCGGTGGCGCAAGGAGAAACCGTGTTTGGCAACTCCGGGGACAAACCCTGGCTTGGAAATTTAGAATGCATTGGTAACGAGTACAGTACAACAGAATGTCCACACAGAGGGTGGGGTAATACAGACAGATTCCTTTGTGATGGAAAGTCAGACGCTGGTGTTATAGGTGGTCCACCTTACAGTGAGTCATTTCAATACCGCTCTTAGTAAATTAAGCCTTCTACCAGTGCAATGTTAAACCCACTGAGTAATGCCAAACAATACCATGAGTTAAATCTTATTATGTTCCATAGAAAGGGACTTCTAGAAGTTATTTAAATGCTGTGAGATGCAACATAACGGTGTTTAATTTTAAGTCGAATACTTATTAACCATAAACTCCGGTATATATCACAGAGATTTTGGTCGCTTTCTCTGAAAGTCGTTTTAAAAGGGTTGTGGTTACAACGAGCAATCGAACTAACGAATACCTTTTCCCAGTCCCTTAGCACTTCTTTCCTTATCGAGGTTTTACTCTATATTCCTTTTCTTTAGGTTTTGGTCAACGTTGAAAGGAAGGGGAGGGATGAAATCTTGTTGGGAATATTTAATCACAAACGTTTCATATAAATGGTTTGTTTGTGGCGTATATATCCTTCAGTAACGTGTCGTATTTTGTTAGTAAACATTCGATTAATGGGAGTCAACTCTTCGGATCAAATGGGCCGAGTGGAATTCTCGTTGAATGGAGTCTGGGGCACAATATGTGATGATACTTGGAACATTCGTAATACGCATGTCATTTGTGATATGATGGGGCTTCCTCCTGCTACCGCGGCTTTGGGTTCAGCAGTGTTCGGTCGAGGAAAGGGAGTGATATGGCTAGATACCTTAAACTGCTTCGGAAATGAAAGCTCCGTTTTGGAATGCCAGCATGGCGTATTTCGAAATGTAAAGGGCTGCAATCGTTATTCTGATAGTGATGCTATGTGCGGAATAGCTCCCGGTAAGTTAATAACATTTATTTTGCTAAAAAAATAGAATATTCGACTGTTGTATTATTTCATAAAAGACCTACGAGAAATTTTAAAATTCTACTTGCTTTTAAAAGTTACACTACGCAGCACACCTACAGAACATTTAATTTATAATTACTCCGTCATGATAAGTACAGATACTGCTAAAGATCCACTATATACCGACAAAACAAAACAAACAAGCAAGAAAAATAGACGCTAGAGAAAATAAAAAGGAGAAGAGACCAGCACAAAAGTTAGAAAATAATAGGGTGTGTGCCGAGAACGAGGTAATCAACTTCTTATCCTTTCATGTTAAGAAAAAACAGGCATAGAACGGTAATCATGTTGCTAGAATTCTTGGAATTCTTAGGATTGAAAGAAAACACACTTTTTTTTTGAACCGGGCCAATCAGCAGTTGTTCTATGATAAAATGACTACATTATTAGTAATTGGCCACGATGCAATATGAGGTATAATCCTCATTATCTTAATGCATACAAGATTCTCTTGTTTAGTCTGCCCAAAAGGATGCAACTGTTACACAAAAGATCTCTTTTATACTGTCAACTGTTCAAGCATTTGTCTTTCTACCCTGGAGATTTTTATTCCGGAGTACGCAAGATTTCTGTAAGAAGCATTTTGTCCTTTGTCCTTTGTCTATTTTTACGCTTTACAAGTGTTAAATATATCACTAGGTTTAATGGTACTAACCAAAATGCATGTGGCATTATGCAAGCTGGAAATTAGAGAATTACAACCATATTTGAAGCCCCAAAAAACTTTAAAGAAGGGTTACCACTGAGACAACATTTGATGTAATCTCGTCATATTTAATTGAAACATTCTTATGTTGGTTTCTGATATTCATCTTCTTTCATGTTTCCATGGCGACCGTTTTTGACAAGTACTTTTTACAAGTTTGCACTTTTTTATCATCATCGTCATCATTATCATTATCATTATCATCATCATCGATCATCGTTCTTCCCGTCATTCGTCCATTCCACCGTGTCCAGGCTACCGCTTTCGCAGTGTCCCAGTTGTTCCTTCCTACCTGCCGTCTCCCTACTTCCACAGTACTACTCGAGGTCTTAGGTCACACGATTTTAGCTTTAATTAATTTTAGGAATAAAAACCAGCGATAACAATTTCGAATTAACAAATTGTCGTCAATTTTTTGTCCGTCTGTCCCGTTATTGATCATGAATCTCGCCATAACATTGTCAATATGGGCTATGGGTGGATCCACAGACTACTTTGACAATGTTATGACGAAATTCATTGCCAATTAATAACAGGACAGACGCATCGCATAAATCATAAATTCATGTGTCTGTCCGCTTATTGACAATGAAAATTAGCCAATGACCGCGCGAGAATTTCTGCAGTTATCGTGAAATGACGTTTCGATGATCCGTTCATCATTATCGCTGATATTAATTCTTAATTGTTTTTCCAACGACTCCGTTATTAGAATTAATTTTATTCTAATACAGTATTCTGATTGGATTTTTATTTTCCCTTACTTTAGCAAGGATTTATCAAACTAAGTCCAAATGTTCATTAATTAAGGAGATTGAAGATAGAGATTCGAATTCGGAACATTTTATACACAGAGGAAGAAACTGTTTCTGTTAATCAATCTTTGTTGTTTAATGAAATAAGTAAACTTAAAGAAATGTTTATGCTATGCACTAAATTGAGACAGCGCTCTGGAGAAATTCCACTTTTCACAGATACTTTGGTGTCATTATGACGTTATATGACTTCAGGTATTTGATTTTATCACCTGAAACTGTTTTACAGTATTTTCATCATAATTGAGACGTCTAACAACAAAATCGTAACGGTGACGTGTTCAATAGAATTCTGATGTCTCCTACATCACTTTTTGCTAATCATAGTCATCATGAATGTATACAAACAGTAGTGTAAGAGGCTTACAGGGGGCCGAAATTGGCACAACATAGCCAATCCGATTGCGAGATTAGTAGCAATTATGGTAAAAGAGATTTCGTCCATGATGGGTCAATAGGAATTGGGTAGGACTAGCGCGCGCTGTGTTGTAATGGAAATTAACCAATGAGTGTGCTTAGATTGGAAACCACTGGCCAGCATTTTTTGTACTTACAGGGCCTGTGTAACGATGCCCGGGATAATCTGGAGTTTAACAATAGTTTCAATAAACAACATTTTAATAAACTCTTGGGAAAGTAAATATCAAAAATCTCATTTGAACTGCGGGATAAAGACTTCAACACATAAGAGTTAGAGATACATGTAATCATCAGAGTAGGCTTCAACTGATAACAGTTAGCTTAAGCAAAAGCTAATTGAAAACTTGACCTGCGCACCGAGATATTGATAAAGCGGATTAACATAGCAGTGCGTCATGAAGTAGAAACAATTTGCGGTATCTGACTAGCTTTCCTGCCGACCACTGACAATACGGTCTAGACATGAAAAGCCCACCCATGTAGCAAAAACAACGAATTTCACCTTGTGTTTTAAGAACTTCTTTTAACGGATTTCTGTGTTTTATTGTGTAAAAAAGAGCTCAGTCGCAACAACTTTATATCCTCGAAAGTAGCGAGCCTTAAAGGCCGCTAACTCCGAAACGACCTTCCTTACTTTCAGAATTTTGAGGTTTCAAAATGATTGAATAAAAGATACTTTTTACTCTGGTGCTTTTTTTATTACTTACGTTTTGCATCAGAAATCAGTTTAACATTTATGAGGCCGTTCCTTTTTCCTCTGAGAAACGTCTCCAAAGCGTCGAGCGAATTCAGAAAATTAGCCCGCTCACCGCGGAATCGTACAATGCAGCCATTGTTATTTCGTGGCAAAGTTACTGAGCCTGTGTAGCTGAATATGAATTTACTAATCATTTGGTTGTAGGGTTGGAAGCCATGTGGGAGAGGTTGTCAACAACGGTTAAAATTAAAACTTGCATTCCATGTAAGAGATCGTGTCAGCACAAGGTACTGTGTCAAAATTATCAGTAGAATACATTCTTTGCGTAATTAGTGTTTTAGCATGAGGTGTGAATCTTTTGGACAGTCCTTGCCTCATTCGTATAAGCGATCCAATTTCCGATCGAGCTTCAAATATATCAGTTCTGAATACTGAAAGGTCATAGTATGATAAACAATTCTGTACCAAAGAATTTGAGAACGATAAATGGAATACTCTTTTCTGCCACCGGGATTTAAAAACTAAGAATGCACTCGCTCATTAGATAGAAACTTTAGATAGAAACTTTATGAAAGTGTTAATGCCTTGTAGCCTGAAAAAAACCCGTACTAATTTGGGGACACAAAATAAACAATACCACCCAGAAATTTTGTAGTCCCTACGCAAAGTCGTATGCTGATAACGTAAAGTGAAAACAATGACGACCGCTTCCCTTCTTACGCAGTACATTCCGCACATTCGGTGATCCTTTCTGCTTAATCATTATACGAAGTAGTGTATGGGGTAAGTAGCCATTTTGATTACGTCAGTCCTTCAACATGGCCCTCAGTACTTAATGACGTCATCTGCACAGACACAATTCGACTTTGGTAAACACGCCCACTAACTGCCGCTAACAACGGTATCACATAAGTGTCTAACGAAACTAATTAATGGGCTGGATGCAAGTGAAACTCTCAACAATTTATTAACTCGATGTTGATAAAGGTAGGTAAACCTCCATGTTACAATTACAAGTTATTGAAGATGACGTTTCGAGCGTTAGCTGTTCGTCAGAGCTCGGAAGATGGGTTCAAACTAAAAAAATCAGCTTCACTAACTAACGACGATAATTAACCTTTGTCAGTTTTAAGACGATGAATAGCTTAGACTAGCATACTAAACTATGGCAACAAATATAATTATAAGCTTATTAGAGGTGTTTCACCTCCGGGGAGGAGTCCGTGGGTGGTACTGACTTATTGCATATTTTACAGATTACATCATTTTGTCATACCACGCATTCCGTTTGTGTTGCAATCCTATAGAAAACTGACAATAGGCTACGTAAGTAACGTTTACGCGCGCTATGAAAGATTGGCTGATGTGAACCGGTCCGGAGAGAAGCCGTGTACTGCCACGCGTATTATAATTCTGAGCATTAACCGAGACATTGATATCCAACTCTACCCAGCAAAATCAATCTCATTGATTACATAGAAGGCAATATTTGGCTCTTAGTATCACGTAGAAAGAAATGCTCGTTCCTTGGTAATTTGTACTCCATAACATCCAACAAGCTCATATATTACTGTGCAAATATGCAAATATCCAACTGAGATACTGTAAAATGCTTGCATGCCTCAAAATTGACAGATTTAGTTATTACTGGCAGTTGGGTTACTCATTTATTATAGCTTGACATTGAAATTAACACTATCTCACTTTCTCGACATTAAAAGGGAACATGAATCAGTACGATATTGCCTCAAGTGTTTGTAACTTTAAAATCTTACGTGCATCCGGCCGCCCTCAACGCTTAAAGATATTTAAATATTACAGCACACGATATGTCCAGAATAAAAAGCTGCGAAAAGTCAGTTCTTGTTAACAAGTTACCAGAGGAGTAATAAACCAACGAGATAGCAAGGATTGGCAAAGATTGAGATCGGGATAGCGAAAAAAAAGGCGAGCTGAAAATAATAGAAGAATGCCTATGACGTTTGCTACGCTCAGATAGTTTCATCAGTTTTATGCCTGAGTAACGTTATATGTCAATATACTCGGCGCGTCTCTCGAGGTTCCACACTGATCAGTCACACATTTCAAGTGGACAGGTTAGATCGTCATCGAGAAATGTTTTTGGTATTGTTCTTCAAGTTGGTACTCCATTTCACATGTGGAGCAGCTGAAATTCAAGATGGGCAAGCTCCACTGATGATTGTGTCCCTGGATGGAATGGATTGGCGAGTGTTGAAGAGTCAGTTTGCTGTTACAGCTAATTTGGACTTCGTCGCACAAACGGGAGTTAAAGCCGAATACATAAAGAACATTGTACCTTCCAGCACGTGGCCAAATCATCATACTTTTCTGACTGGTCTCTACTCGGAGAGTCACGGGATTGTGGCGAACAGATTCTGGGATCCAGTTTACGAAGAAAAATTTATATTCGGTTACGACTGTTCAAACTTTGATCCCAAGTTTTACAACGAAGCGGAACCAATATGGCTGACATTACAAAAGCAAGGCGGACGCAGTGGCTCATATTTTTGGCCAGCAACTACCAGCTACTCCGTGAAACCAACCTTCTATGAAAAAGAACTCTGTCTTGTCAACTGTAGTGCAATAAACCCCAAAGAGCTTCCAAGGTATAGAAATAGAACTTTCGAAGGTTTTCCACCTTACGTTCACTGCGTGTTTAACTTGAGACAGAATTTTTCAGTTCGAGTCAATAAGGCGGTGGAGTGGCTTCGTTCTGACAAACCGCCGCATTTTATTTCTCTCTACTTTGGAGCGATAGACAATACGGGTCACTCCCATGGGCCGTTCTCGAAAGAATACAAGAGTATGGTGGAAAATGTTGATGTGAATGCTGTGGGGTTCTTACTGAAGCGATTAAATGAAACTGATTTTCTGCGCAAAGTCAACTTGATAATAGTAAGTGATCATGGAATGGATAATACGTCAGCAAGTCGCCAGATATACTTGGAAGATTTCATTGACCCTTCGACTTATACGTTGACTGAGAAAGGTCCTTTAGTGCACATGTGGCCTCGTCCTGGAATGATGGAGGAAATCTACCAAAACCTTACAAGAAATCAAATACCACACGTCCGCCGAGTGTTCAGGAAAGAAGACATTCCAGATGAGTACCACTGGAAAAACAACCGACGAATTCCGCCGATCTTCATTGATCCTGAAGTTGGCTGGGTCATAACAAGCTCCAGAAGTGATCCACCGCCAGGACGAGGAGAACACGGCTGGCCTCCAGATCAATCAAAGAGCTACTCGGTTTTTTATGCTCGTGGACCAGCTTTTCGAGAAGGTGCAGTTGTGAGGCCATTCAACATAGTGGATCTTTACCCTTTGATGTGTGAGCTTCTTGGAATAGATCCTCGTCCGAACAACGGCTCTATTGAAAATATCAAAGCTGTCCTTAAAGAAGATATTCCACCACCTCGGGGTGCTGGAAAGAAGCAAAACAGCGCATGCTTGAAATTCGTTTTAACAATCCTCCTTATTGGGTTTGGACTTTTCAGAAATTGAACTTTCGAAGCTATGAACTATTTTTGTGTTAAGAAAACAACACTAAAAAAACTCCGTTTGGTTTCCTTGCTGATGTTGAACGTTCTTAGTTTTTAGAGGACTTGAACTGAAATTTGAAAATGATTAAAAGGAATGAAGACTGGATTTATATTCAAAAATGTATTTGATGTACACCATTCATCTTATTTCAGTTAGAAAGTGAAAGCTAATTTTGGGTTAATCTTTAACATTTATAATTGTTCTGAATTGTTTTAATTTCAGTTATGCGGAAGAAGTTCTACGTACCTTATTGTTATTTTGAAATGAATGAAACTCGCCATGTACATCCATGTTAGCAATGGTTTTACATTCACTGGTCGATTTTTATACCTAAATGTACCCTTTTGTACGTTCGCTGGCATATCAGGCGAGTTTAGTCTAGCAATGGTTCGTATTTTGGAGAGATGTAGTCGGGAGAATGCCGAAAACGAACGAGCCTAAGCGTTCCCAAAAGGGTACGGTTGATTATTTATGTATACTTAGATTCGGCCACATCAGGTTTATATATATGACTTGATATCGCAGGATATCAGCACAGTAGACACGGCTTCTGGTTGGCTAATTGCGAACTTGGATACGGTATAATTTCATTTTGTTTTCTTTATTTTGCCGTTTTTTTTTTATTCTGATCGACCAGGTGTGTGTTTCTCTCTAGAGATCGAAAAGGAGGCTTAATCTCAACAGATTGGTCTTGCTTAATTAATTTTCAGAGTAAGCCTGCGCGTTTTTAAGTACTACAGTCAAATCTATCTAGGATAATTACATTTCTAAAAATAAAGATGTTTAGCGGCATTCAGCCGTTTCTTCCTTAAATTAAACCTCCTAATCATTAGCCTGATTACCTGTTTTAAGCATTTTACTAGTATCATAATCTGATAGACCTATTTACGGAATATTTAAATAACGATATTGAGCTGTATTTAGCCGTTTCATTTGTAAAGCTTTTTAGATTACAACTTAGCGTTGAGTAAACCGCTGTTCTTTTAGAAATCTGCTGACTGTTTTTCTTTTTCTATCATTATTATTTTCCATCGCTCTTTAATAGTTTTCTATTTAATAATTAGATTACAAGCTTAAAACGTTTGATTTTATATGTGAATGAGAAAATTGCTTCACTATGACTGGCTGAGAACCGACCAATTTATCGTTAATTTCTAATTTTCGCTGCAGTGCAAATTATCTCGCGCGTTTGTGATTTTCTGTCACAAGAAAAAACAGGAGTTCGAACGATGGTATGCCGAGCAAGTCAACAATGACTATGTCTTCAATCTAAAAAAAGAGATGGAAGATTATTGCACCTCAGATGTCAAACTGTTGATGCTAAAAGTCCTAAGACGAATTCCGGCAGCATGCCGCGTTTGATCCCACGGGAAAATGTGTCACCATCGCCTTGGCCTGCTACTGGTGCTGGCGCAGGAAACTCTTGCCAAAAAACACCATCGCCGTCGAACCTTCACGCGGCTGGCACGGCGTCTGCACCAATCAGTCCATCAAGGCTTTCCAATGGCTGGCTTGGAAAGAACACCTTTTATGCCTCAACACTCACAGTTCTTCCTCGACTCCAGAGCCCACGGCTAACCGCATTTTCCACGCGGGTAATGGCAGAGAAAAGCGCGTGTCCACCCCAACCCAAACGTTCAGCATCGATGTTTACAATGACCGCAACAAGTCCAAACCCACCGTTTACGAATTGCACGGTTGTGTGTGGCACGGGCGCCCTCGTTGTTTCCCGGATCGTCAACTGTTTAGCAAATTTCATCCAGACCGCAAGTTTGGGGAAGCGTAAAAGGACTCGTGCGCTAAAGAACGCCAATTGTGCCAACAGGGTTACGAGGTCGTCGTCAAGTGGGAATGTGATTGGGACCGTGAAGTCAAAACCAATGAAAAGCTCGAACAGTTCTTGACCACTCTCGAGGTCGTCGGTCCCCTGAAACCCCGCGACGCTTTATTCGGAGGACGCACCAGTGCTTCCATCCTCCACTATGAGGCCAACGAATCGGTCGGAGTGTAGATCAATTACGTGGATGTCACCTCGTTATACCCCTGGCTCAACAAGAATGGCGAGTACCGTGTTGGTCATCCCACCATCATCATTCATCCCAACGATCAAGACATTCCACATTACTTCGGGATAGCTAAAGTCTATATCCTTCCACCCTTCCAGCTCTATCATCCCGTCTTAACGTACTTTTGCCGCAACAAATTAGTGCTGCCCCTATGCCGAAGCTGCGTGGAATCCGAAATGTCCAAACCCTTGTTGGAAAGATCTCGTCGATGTCCACCCTCCACCGAGGAACGCATGCTTCGTGGGACGTAGTGCACGCCGGAACTCGTCAAGGCAGTTGAACTCGGGTACACTATCGTCCGCATCCACGAAGTCTGGCACTTCCCACCCAACCAGAGAAAGCGGTTTCTTTTTAGCAACTATGTGAACCAGTGGCTTAAGATAAACAAGAATCCCCCAGCTACCCCAGTTGCGCCCGTACCGAAGAAGAAAAAGCTCGATACGTTCGAGAAAGCCATGACCACGAGGGCATCTTGTTGGACCCCACCATGCTGAACTCGTTTTGGGGTAAATTTGGCGAGAACCTCAACAAACCCACTACCTTGGCCATCGAAACACCCGTGGCCTCCAACCCTCTGGAACATATCCACACCGTACGCGTCGAACACCGGATGGAAATCGTCTACTCCGACATCTCGGAGAATCAGCTAGACAACGGAAAAACCAACATCTTCGTCGCGGCTTTCACCACTTGCCATGCCCGTCTCAAATTGTACTAGTCCCTGGAAAAGTTGAAAGAGCAAGCCCTCTACTTCGACACGGACTCGGTCATCTATCGTTGGCGTCCAGGTCAACCCGACATTCCACTCGGCGATTTCCTGGGCGACATGACCAACGAGGTTTACGATGGGGATCACATCACAGAATTCACCTCGGGTAATTCCAAAAATTATCGGTACAAGATCAAGAATGGTAAAGTGTGCTGTAAAGTGAGAGGTTTCATTTTTAACGTCCATGGCTCTGCTCAACTCAATTACGAAGTCATGAGACAAAATGTGCTCGACGAAATCACCGATCCTCTCGACGATGACCAACTTAACATCGATGTCGTCAACCCCTACGACTTCGTTCGAGACCCTGCCCTCAAACGTGTCAAAGTAGTGCCGCGCCTCAAATGGTACGGCTCGTCCTTGACAAGCGTGTGGTCTAGCCCGACACGTTCCAGTCCTATCCGTACGGCTATAAGAAAGAACCCGAGGGCCCAATCCAAAAATGATACAGTGGATGGCTGATCGTGTACATGCTAAAGACGATTAAATTAAGACTGGGATATACTACACTGTCAAGGATTGTTTGCAGCTTCTGTCATGTTTTGATTCAGCAGAGAGAATCTTCAGCCAGGGTGTGGAGTAAATTTCCTAATATACATTTTCAAACATGTAATGTTTGTTTCAATTGTCTAGTACATTGTTACACCACTCACTCATCACTAACCGAGAATCATTGGACATACTACGACGTTCATTACCGCAATGGCCTCAAATCACAGTTTTAGATGAAGATCTAAGTCAGGCGCAAGCAGCTCAGGAACATGACTACTTAGATTTTGAACAATTCTAACCAGGGAGTAACTTAAGCGTCTTCACTTTGTAAACTAAAAGAGTCTTGTTGATGAGTCAGTGAATTGTTTCATGTTTGTCACGATTTCCCACCCTGTCAAAAGTTTTTTTTTCTGTGATTATCAAAAAAACATTTAAAAAATAGACTTGAATCTTCAATGGTGCATCTCCTCATGACGTCATCGAAGACCCAAAACCCGCTCCTCATCATGTCCTCCCCTCCCCCTTCCTCGTGATGTCAACTAGTACGCCATGACAGCCACAACGCAGCTCCTCATGACATGACGTCATCGAATCCCAGGCGCTGATTGGTCCATCCCCTTGACCGAGAGGGACCTGGACAAATTCGGGTACTTCCACCATCTTGAATATTGCAGCCCATACAAACCCTCTTATTTTTACCTCATTAGGCCCTACTTTCACCTATGATATGCCAATTTCGACCCCCTATAAGCCTCCTACACTACTATAAAAATCTACAAACAGCTTCTGTAAACATGTAACAACCCAGAAATTTTCTTCTGAGAGCTGTGCTATAAACGAGATAGGAGACTTCTTTTGACAAATTGCAAAATTGGGATTTTAAAGCGGATCACTCTTTGTGGTGTACGTTATTATATTTAGAGAAACATATGTCTATTTTTAAGGCCGTCAAAATCAAGCTGTGCTTTAAACCTTAACCCTAAATGTGCTCCTCTCGCCGGTAAGGGATAAGGAAATTACGCAATGCTCTGCTATATATCTTGTAGGAGCACTAAGCCTGGTTTCATCTTAATGATTTACAGTAATTATTTTTACAATTGTTAGGTATCTAGATGGCAATAACATAAAGAACATCTCAAGGGGGACGTTCTCGCGTCTCCTTTTCCTTAACAAACTGTAAATATCAAGTTCTGACATTATTTATATTACAAAATGAAACATTTTGAAACAATTTTCCCGTAACAAAAATTATTAATACAGTAGGAGAACTTTTTATTTGTATTTCTCCACTTGAAGACATGAATACAATATTGTTAACAAAACAAGTGCAGTGAAAAAGAAGTGGAGAGGGCAAAATATCGTAAACTAATTATATGCCCTTTAATTAAACACATTTATTTTAGGATAAAAGAAATCCAGTATAAGAGAAGAAAGAGTAAACACATAGGAAATAAATATATAATGTTAGAGGTTCGAGNGTTTCCTTGCTGATGTTGAACGTTCTTAGTTTTTAGAGGACTTGAACTGAAATTTGAAAATGATTAAAAGGAATGAAGACTGGATTTATATTCAAAAATGTATTTGATGTACACCATTCATCTTATTTCAGTTAGAAAGTGAAAGCTAATTTTGGGTTAATCTTTAACATTTATAATTGTTCTGAATTGTTTTAATTTCAGTTATGCGGAAGAAGTTCTACGTACCTTATTGTTATTTTGAAATGAATGAAACTCGCCATGTACATCCATGTTAGCAATGGTTTTACATTCACTGGTCGATTTTTATACCTAAATGTACCCTTTTGTACGTTCGCTGGCATATCAGGCGAGTTTAGTCTAGCAATGGTTCGTATTTTGGAGAGATGTAGTCGGGAGAATGCCGAAAACGAACGAGCCTAAGCGTTCCCAAAAGGGTACGGTTGATTATTTATGTATACTTAGATTCGGCCACATCAGGTTTATATATATGACTTGATATCGCAGGATATCAGCCCAGTAGACACGGCTTCTGGTTGGCTAATTGCGAACTTGGATACGGTATAATTTCATTTTGTTTTCTTTATTTTGCCGTTTTTTTTTATTCTGATCGACCAGGTGTGTGTTTCTCTCTAGAGATCGAAAAGGAGGCTTAATCTCAACAGATTGGACTTGCTTAATTAATTTTCAGAGTAAGCCTGCGCGTTTTTAAGTACTACAGTCAAATCTATCTAGGATAATTACATTTCTAAAAATAAAGATGTTTAGCGGCATTCAGCCGTTTCTTCCTTAAATTAAACCTCCTAATCATTAGCCTGATTACCTGTTTTAAGCATTTTACTAGTATCATAATCTGATAGACCTATTTACGGAATATTTAAATAACGATATTGAGCTGTATTTAGCCGTTTCATTTGTAAAGCTTTTTAGATTACAACTTAGCGTTGAGTAAACCGCTGTTCTTTTAGAAATCTGCTGACTGTTTTTCTTTTTCTATCATTATTATTTTCCATCGCTCTTTAATAGTTTTCTATTTAATAATTAGATTACAAGCTTAAAACGTTTGATTTTATATGTGAATGAGAAAATTGCTTCACTATGACTGGCTGAGAACCGACCAATTTATCGTTAATTTCTAATTTTCGCTGCAGTGCAAATTATCTCGCGCGTTTGTGATTTTCTGTCACA